TTCTAAAGTTTTGTTGACATTTAATTGCGTAATCGAAAACTATTTTCATAAGTGATTAATAATCTCTGCTCTAACAACCTTATCAAACGTGTAATGTAAGTCAAATATTAGCGATTATTGTTTGCCAAAATTTATTATTGTTAACAAGAAATAGGTTTGCAAGGTTTAAAGTTTTAAAATCTGTTTATCGAAATTATTTGACACAATTCATACATGAATTTTAATTTCAACTAGTTTTTCAAGTATCATAAAGTTGAGTTTACGAGTAGATCAAGGCTAAACCACCATTATAAACCTAGGAGCACTGGACGGCCGTTTTGTCCTAGTCTGGGACTCCTTAGAAGTGCGCATCCAAAAACGCAAGACCTTCAGTTCAGCGTGCGAACACTGAACTTCTAGATCAGTGAGCAGGCATCCAAAAAAGTTTATGTTTAAATTCAATCGATCCATGATTTCGCTCTACAATTCATCCATTGTCGAAAGTAGACTACAAAAGTTGTTAAAACACAAACTGATTACTTGGCAAATTAACTTACATCCTAAATCCTCTCTGTTTTTTTTAAAATTTCATAATAAAAAACATTTTTAAATTGAAAGACGAAAATTGGCTAGTCGACAAATAATGTAATTTCTGAAAAGTTAAACTATGTAAACTGATAATGAACAATGCTGTTTTCATAAAGTGCATTGATGCATATTTTTTTGATTTTCTGTTTCGTCTGAAATAATATTTTATCTTCATTAGTATTATGTACATTTATTTTCTGGAAGTTAGTTAGTACATAAATTCCACACTTCGTTAATGAATAATAGATCGGGCATAGCGTAAAGAACAATTTTATGAAAAGGTGCAACCGATCATAGAGAAATGCACATAAAACGACTTGAGCATCCTGATGGTAGACCTGAACGCCAAAGTCAGAGTGAAGAACACTGAGTATGTAGATATTATGGAACTACACTGACTGGCTGGTAGAAAGGAGTGAGAATAGTTAAGATATGTAAATTTATGTGCAATCAACAAAGTGGTTAGGGGCGGCAAAATATTCCTACACAAACGCGTTTACAATGCTATATGGGTCTCACTGGATCATACTTCACAAGAACCATATCGATCATATTTACATTACTGAAAAATTCAAATTGATGAAGGACGTGACAAGTTGGAGAGGAACTAACATGGCTTCGAATCACCACTAGCTGGTGGTTGTCAAGATGAAAGTGAAGCTAAAGAAGCACTGGACAACTGGAGAAACAGCATTTCAACGGTTTAATACAACCTCCCTCCGACATACTGATAAACTCAACAAATCTAAGCTAGCTCTCGACAACAGGTTTTGAGCCTTATAAGATCTCTTGGGAGACGAAGGAACCACTGTGGAGGACAATTGGAAAGGGATGGAAGAAGCACTAACTTAAACTTGTCAGGAGGATATGAGACCTCAGGAAGGATCATCATAAGGAGTGGATTTCTATCGAAACAATGAATAGGATTCAAAAAAGTAAGAACAAGTGGATAGCGATTAGTAACAGTCGAACAAGAACAGAGAAAGTGAAGGCACAATCTGAACACACAGAAACAAACAAGTGAGTAGAGTGAAGCGTTAGAGCTGACAAGCAAAAATAGGTGGGATAACCGACAACGACAGTGGAAAAAGTTGCAACATAAGGAAGTATGAAAAGACTATTCGACACAATGACAAATAAACTGGCAGGCAAATATAGTTAATGAGAGAGATTGGTCAAAAACAAAGAAGGTAAGTCAATCATTGAGAGTGAAGAACAGAGAAACAGATGGGTTGAACACTTCGAGGAAATCTTGAATATACCAGCTCCATTGAATCTATCGGACATCGAAGCAGCATACACAAACATTCATATCAATATCATTCCATTAACGATCGAAAAAATGAGGATGGTCGGTCATCAGATAGATCAAAAGTGTGTAGGCAATAGGATCTAACAATATACCAGCTGAAACATGGAAGTCAGGCACAGAAGTAACTGCAAACATTCTCCAAATTCTATTAAGGAAGATTTGGCAGGGAGAACAATTGCCACTGACAGACTGAAAAGAAGAATATCTCATGAAAGAAAGGAGATCTGATCAAATGTGAAAACCAACTACCGATGTATAACACTGCTAGGAAACGTTTCCAATGGATTGTTGCTGAATTGGATGAAAGGTTTCTTAGACACTCAGCTTCGAGATCAAGAGACTGGATGTCGTGGGGACCAGTCGTGCACAGATCAAATAGTGACACCTCAGATCATTGTTGAATAATCAAATGAATGGAACTCGTCACTGTACATCAAATTCCTTGATTATGACAAGACGTCTGAGAGTGTGGATTGTATGACCTTATGGAGACGTATTCGACTCTATAGCCTCGACCTACACAAGGATGAATGCACGATCCTCAAATTCATCACGGAAAACACCAACCCAATCACAATTGATGAAGAAACTCTGGAAGTAGTGTGAGCTTTCACATATCTTGGCACCACTATCGATAGACATGGAAGATTCGATGCAGTTGTGAATGGAAGTGAGGAAAAAGAATGACATCATTCCGACAGTTGAACACATGAAACTCAAAACAATCGTCAGCCAACATCAATGTCAGAATTTTCAATATATATATCAAGACAATTTTGTTGTACGAAGCTGAGTATTGGAGAACGGTTATCGAAATGGTACAAGTGTTTATAGACAATTGTCTACGCAGAAAACTCATTGTCCGTTGGACGTATACATAAACGTTTTATGACAGAGAACATCCTAGTTTCTAACTGAAGAGGAAATTCGCAAAAGACGTTTGAGGTGGATAAGACATACATTGAGGAAATCCTCAAATTGCGTCATGAGGCAAGGGCTAACTTAGAATCCTTAAGGTAAAAAGTAAAGAGAAAGACACAAGAACGCATTGCGTCCAGAATCGGAGACTGAGACCAACAGAATGAATAACGATTAGAAACTACCGAAAATGAGAGCTCAGGATATAATTGGTTCGAGAATCCTAGACGGCACCCTAAGCTCCATGAAGCTTAACAGACGTAAGTAAGTATTTATGACTTCGAAAAAAAAGTCGTCATTCGGTTAAGTTAGTCCTCTGACTGCTTCTATGAAAAACTGAGCGATTGAGTTAAAAGATCAACAGAAGTATATTTTGACACAATACATCATATTATCATGTTTTATTTTGTGTTGTGCATGACCATCAATGAAATTATGGTTTAAAGGCAAACCACCTATAATCTGTCTATCTTTATTGATTATGAGATTCGTGGAAGTCAACATCTACTGAGGAATTGATGAATAATGTCTTTTTTCTTAATACTGAACTCACTGTACGAGGTTATGACAGGTAAAGTTCAAGCATGGTGGAAGGAAAGTAGTTATCCACCAATAATACACAGTAACTTTCAGGCTTTATTTCAAAACTGTAAAATATGGAATTTTAGCTCAATGTTATTCACTCATTGAAAACTCTAAGGTCTTCATTTTCATCTTTGCGCCTTCGTCGTTGATACACATTACTGAAATATTTCATACTCGAATGAAATAACTTTATACTAACTCCATACAAACAAATTTCTAATCAAAGATAAATCAAAACGTCACTTGATTATTATTTTCTTTTTGAAGAATTTTCTATGTTGTCTAAAAAGTACACTGAGTTCTGGTTTAACAAGAATTTGTAATCTTTCTTTTTTACCGTGTTTCTCTATTTATGTCAATGCAAACTGAATTCCTATCATTAAAAATAAATAATTTTAAAAAACAAACAAACAGCAAAACATAATAAATGTTATAGAGAATAATTACATTTTTTTAAATAGTTTGGTTAATATGTGAATTGATTGTTAATCTTTTTTCATCATAGATTGTCGAAAATATCATTATTTCATCCATTTTCTTCTCAGAATAACATACTACTGAAATAATCTATATCAGTAGTTGTAATAATATCAAACCTATCTATATCAATTTTGTCTACAATATAGACATTATACATGAAAAGAATCAGAATAAGGAAATCATAATATTATTATGATTTTTCATTTGTTTTCTTAATAAATTAAGCATGTTGAATATGTTTTGTAAATGTATCAGTTGTATCATGGTATTTTAGTAAATTCATTTGGATGTTTAAAGATATGTGTTAAATATTACATAACAGATTACACGAAGTAATATATATAGACAGTATAAAAACGAATGGCAAAACTAAGAAGAATTACTTGGTAAACTCCTAAAGAATGAAAATTTCAATATTCCATACTACTGAAACAAAAAAAAGATAAATAAAAAGAAACAAAAGAGCACAACCACATTTTTTGATTCACCAAAAACAAAAACTTTGTTTTTCATAACCAAATTACATTTCACTAAAAAGTAAATAATTAAGCATAAGAATAATAGAATAGGGATAATTTCAGAAGAAAATGTTTCACAAAACATTTCCTGTCTTTCTTTTTTTTCTCTTTTTTTTCTTTTCAATAAATTCTATTTATGATATAAAAGGTGTAATAAACTGAATATTTTCTTGTTCACAACCTTATTTATTGTAAGTTATCCTAAAAATAAACAATTTTTATTCACTGTGTATATAATTATAAATTAACGGTAATATAAATTATGATTTTGTAAATATTCCATATAGAATAAAATGTATTTGTAGTTAGATATGAGCAGTTGAATATTGGCAATAATACAATGATATTGAAAGTGGATCATTTATTATTTAAATGTATACAAAGATACAATTTCAAAAGAAGAAAAACAAACAAACAAATAAACCTTTATTTCATTTGAAAGAAATGAAATTAGACTTTTTGTAATGAGGGATTAATTTGTGTGGGTATAATTTCTTTTTATATTGTTTGTTTCTTCATTAATTTCCTGAGTAAACACTGACACTTTTTCTTTTCCTTTTTTTTATAAAAAAAGAAGGGAAAACAATTTTATTTCATAATATAACATACAATTTATATCTTCAATTAGAATTTTTTAATTCATGATCATTAGTTCTTTTGTTTAATTGATTTTTTAATTGATCTGATTTACGTAAAATTAGATCATTATCAATAATATTTTCTTCAGTATATTGTTTTAATATATTTGATTGTTGATCAACTAATCGTTGATAAGGTGATAAATAATTATTCATATTATCTAATGAATTTGTCATATCATATTTATGTTTATTTTCATTAATTAAAATGGTTTTTTCATTATTAATTATATCTGAATTTATCGATTTTTTAGTATCTACGTTATTTAATTGTTTATTGATTTCTATTTTATCAATAAATTGATTATTATTATTATTATTATTATTAGGTAATTCAGTTGTTTTAATTTGATAATTATTTATTGTAATTGTTTCATTTTCAAAAAATGTTGAATTATAATTTTTTAATCGATATTCACGTAGAAATTCGACAACATTATATTCAGATGAACGTGGTATTAATAAACCAAATGCTGCACATAAATGTATAATTAAATAACATATAAAAAATATTCTATCCATAACAATAGCTATCATACGCCATTCTTTTATGATAATATTTTCTGTATCTTTTTTATCGATTCTTGATAAAATAATTTAACAATTGAACGTATATCATTTACTTCATTTTCTATATTTTTCATTAATATTAATAATGTTGATGATAATTGTAAATGTTGTATTGTTGTTTTATCTGAATTCATATTTGTTATAGTTGAATTAGTAATTAATGGATTATTATTAGATAAATATGATGTAGTTTTATTTAATGTAGATGATTTTAATTGTAAATTTGTATGATTAGTAGTTAATTCATTAGAATTTAAATAATTACGTCCATGTGGTGATATAAGTGCAGGTCTACCATTACGATATTCATATCTAATATGTGAACATAATGAATTACTATCAAATGGTATAGATGAATTAGTTATTGAATGACGGTTTATAGAAAAATAATCATTAGGTTGTGTTTTAAACATTAATGCATTAAGATGTTGTTTACAAACATTACAATTTTCAGGATGTTTTCCATGTTTTGAACTTTGTATTCTTGGGTTTAATATTCTTGAATTTGTGGAAGTATTTATAACTGGTAATGGAGTACAAACAGTACAATGAGTTGCTGGTGCATATGACCGATAATAATATTGACAACATGTACAAGGTTGTTGAGAATTACCTAATATATCACAATCATTAAATTTTGATGGAGTTAATGAACGACTGCGTATTTTTGATAATTTTGAATGACATTGACATGATCCCATGAGCTGTTGTGAATTTGACTCTTTATTAAAGTTATCCGCTTCAGTTTGTGTTTCACAATGACGCTGATTTGGTCGATATCGTTTATGTTCAGTAGTATCAGTATCATAATCATAATTATCTACAATTAAAGTTTTTAATCCATTATTCTCTTGTACCATAGCAAAACGTGCTTTACCCTTTTTAGAACGCTTCATTCCAATAACAGATCCAGTATAACCTGATATATCTTGTTGTTCATTGTTTGAATTAACTAATGCTGACTTCATTTGTACCATTTGTGATGAATAATCGTTTTTATTTTGGTTGACTGTTGTAGAATTTGAATTACTGACAACAACATCCGAAGGTGTATTTTGATCACCTTCTTTACAGCTGCATTTCCCATCACAAACACCGTTCAGAATGTGACATAACTAGAAAATGTATAAAAACAACATACCCTCCCCAAAATCAGTCATTTCACTGAAGTAAAATGTTTGATAAAAAGTATTCATAATTCTTCATTTTTCTGTTGTTCTTTATGCCTAACTGACATTACCACTAAATTCTTGGTCAACTGAAAATTGATTGTCGACATGGCATAAGAATGCTGAACAACAAATTCATTTATCTGATAACAAGTTATGTTGAACTTTCAGATACTAATTTCAAATATTAATTAAATGTAAGCTAATCTTATTAAAATAAATTTTTCTCTATCGATTTTCATTATACGCATTAAAGAACTGTATTTCCTTCATTAAAATCCTTCTTCGATGAATTATATAATCATGAAAAGCTCTTTCCAATTACCATAACATTAGTCATATAACTTATGCCCATTTCGCACTACTAAGCAGTCAATCAGTTATTTTTTTAAACACAGTACGACTTACCCTTCTCAAGCACTGTGGCACCCTATTTCTTTATCACCACGGAAATACAGATTAATCACAAATACAGAGAGAAAAGAAGATAATGTGATCAAAATCATGTTCAAACAGTAGTAATAACCTGTAGAAAACAAAAATGATAGATGATTAGTCAAAATTGACCGATTTACGCAGATTTTAAAGAGTTGCAGGTATTAAGCCTGACATATATATTGTTAAATACATTGAATGCAGTATTATGAAGTCATACAACAAACCACTGAGAATAACTTTGAAGTTATTCAATCATGAAAAATGAAGTTGAAAATAATTGTCGCAAAAACAAGTAGTACTCCTCAATTTATTAGTTCCATGGACAAATTATCCATCAAAAGAAAGTATATTTAAAGTTAATTGAACAGTTTTAACTTTCAGATCGTTATGTAGAAGCTTCTCATAAACCATAGTGTTGCTACTCATTTCGTAGCTGACGAAATCACGGGATAGAATACAATCAAATCGATTAATATTGGTGGTAATCGATTAAGAGAATTGTTAAGAATAACATCAAATTTCAGTTTCGTTTTTTTTCAGTGGAACATTGAGAAACAATAAGGGTTTACTACCAGTCAGCTTAAACTATCAAACTTAAATAATGGATTCCGATATTAGGTATCAACTAACAGAATGATAAGTAATATCTTCAATATGTCACACTGTGGTACAGTGTTTTTGTATCAAAACCTTTAGATGTAGACGGATGATTTTTACTTTGTATCATTATTATTAGCTAACTGTTCGTTCTACAGAGAATCTATAATCTGAAAAGTACTATTTCCTCACAAAATGTTTATTAATATAAGGATTTACTAGAAAAATATACAACTTACCAATATAAGGAACACTGTTTGAGGCTTGTGGTGTAGAATCGGCCAGTAATAACAACAATAAAAAAAAGGCCACAAATATGTTCATTCCTTGAATGTTTCATCAAATACAACAAAAGTGATATTATTCAAAGGTTTTTTTCAAATTAAAAAAAGATTAAAAATGGTTACATTTTGTACGGAATGCGTTGAAAATCTGATTTATAGCGTCATATATGATGATAAGAAAAATAAATGGATTTAGGTCTGTAAATAAATATTATACTGAGAATGAAGATTTCTAAACGCTGAAATTCTAATCTTGAACAAGGCCATATACTAACTATCATCAGTAATAGTTTACTTTAACCAATAATATAAAATATTCCAAAATGAACAGATGTAAACAAAGATGTCGAATCTTTAATACATAGTAAATGAAAGCTAGATTGAAAGTAGGCAAGTTATTTCATTGAAGGATAGTATGAATCTAGTTACTACATTGAGAGCCTTGCATACGAAGTACCAAGAACTTTCAATTGAGATAATGATATGCATCAATTATGGTTGAAACAAACAGTTCCTTTTGAAAGCATTAGCATTAACAATGACGCTGTATCAATGAGATGAATGCAACTGTGTATAGAGTTTTAAATGTAGATTCTGAACAGTAGTCATTTTGTTTTTAGCAATGCAAAGATCTGACACTAGATTTTCATCTATTAGCCAATATCTAAACATGTGTGTATTGAAGTCTATAAATAAAACTGCTTATTCACAAATGTAAGTTGAGCGAAAAAACTGCATTTTTTGTGTGCGAAATCTTTCAGCTTGTAAATGATAAATATAATTCTAATATGATGACTAACAATTTCGTTTGACAGTTGAGTCTTAATTGATTGTAGTAGTCTATATAGTGTTGTTTCCTCAATCGTCAGCAATGTCTTATATTGTTTGCGACGCGTTGTCATTTGTACATAAGCACACCATTCAGTAACAGAAAAATGTATTTGTCTAGCGAGTGATATTATCTTTGACCACTAACAATTTGGGGGCTTAAGTCAACAATACCGTTTTTGATGAGCTGCTATCACCCGGCTACATATTACTGCGTCAGAAAAAGGAAAAATTATTAGCTCACTGAACTTTGGGCTGAACACCTTGAAATCTCTAACAAATCGCGAAAACTCATACTTTAGGGTTGCAATTTAGACTTTATTTCTTAGCAGGTTCATATTGTACAAAAAATATAAGAAAAGGAGCGTAGCCGAGTTTTTTTAAGTCGCTTGAACAATCAGCTGTTTTAGATTTCAAACTTGATTTTCAATAGTTTTTAAATAAAATTTAATTTTTCCAGAAAATATCTCATTTCTGCCGGGTTTCGCATATAACTCCGAAAGATCTCACTGGCTATCTTCTGCCTGTTTACTTGTGGTTTGTCCACCTCTGCATAAGATAAAGTATGTGATAAGGGAATAAACATTTTTACCATAAGTAATTTACACTGAGCTTGCTTACCAAGAACCATCTTTGCAGGTGATTCTGGAGGTAACCAGAAAATGACAAGTGTCAATGATGCCAGTAACACACATGGTAGAACCAAAATGTATGAAAAGAATGCAGCATTCCTTCTTAGGCTGTAAAATATTTTTGAAATATCAACTCTTTTGAAACAGATTCATACAGATAACTCAATAAATAGAATTTAATAATGAATGGTTTTTTTAAATTGTAAATTTACTATTCAGGTTGAATTAGTTATGAGGAAAACACGCTGGGTATACGTGCTTTAAATGTGAGTGATTTGGTTCGTGCGTATGATATATTTATCAGATAGAGGTACGACATTACATAAGGTGAGTACCCTGAAGTAGATTCAGCCCATTTTACATACCTGTGGTCTCGTAACATTTCAGTTTTTATTGCAAGTATTTGATCCGTGACTTTTTAGTAGTAATGTATCTTTTAACATTTAAATAATTTTTTTCTGATAATGAAGAAATGATATCCACTGACTTATGCACTTTGCATCGTTAATCACTTTAATATACTACTACTACTTCTACTACTACTGTTACTACTATTGCTACTACTAATGCAATTGTCTTTTCGTCACGTTTTATATCTCTCACTGTCAAACTTTGAATGTAGAAATTTCTAAGGAAATAAGGGAAATCGATTTTATAGATCCCTAACTTCTAGGAAATTTTAATTAAATCTGATGAGGAACTATTTTCTTTTTTACGTCCAACCTCTTCGTCAGTTTCATAATAATAAGGTATTCAAATAGTGATCATGAAAGTGATGAAATTTATGTTTCCTAATGTTAAACATTAAAAAATCGCTTAAGGTAACATTTTAAAAACAAAATTGTTAAATATATTAAACTGTCTCTTATCATAATGGGGTGAATGAAATGAATATCACAATGAAATTTAAAAAGGTAAAATTTAGGATTTCGTTGTATTACAAAAAATAACAAGGTACTACATACTATCAGACATTTTCTATTCATATTATAGTTGTCATTGTAATACAAGTGTTATAAAACCAAGAAACGCAGGATCAGAAAACAATCTTTAAACTCATTTTTTTCTTTGCAAATCTAATTCTCAACATTTATCCCGGAGTATTATGGAACCTGAAGCTGAACTGGACTTTTCGGCTACGATTTCTTCGTTTTAAAGAACTATGCCTATAACAAAAATCGAAGGAACTAGATCTCAGCATTGGTAGTTACGTGCGCATACGTTGCTTAAAAGTCCAGAGCTACGAAAAATTTATCGATATACTGTTCCTTTGTGCTGTATATAATTTAAACAAATAAAACTGACCAATCAAGATAAACCTAGAAAAGTTACGATTTGTCAGGTTGTTGAATGTTCTGCAGAACTCTAGTAACATTACGAATAATTTTATTCGAAACGACTGATCATCTGACAACACATTCATTGCTTACAGTCTCACCGTGCAGGGTTATGTTTATCTCATTAGACTTCCAAGTAGTACTTTGTGCAAGGTTTAAGAATGTAGACAGTTACTATATCAAATAAAATAAGAACTTACAATAAAAAGAAAGTTAAATCAGGATAAAATTCTGGACAACAAGGATATGATTTTACATTCCTTAAAGCCGGACGTGCAATTACTTCCCATTCATTACTTTCTGTATAGTCACTTAACAGAACTTGTGCTTCATTATTAATAAAAGAAACATCTAATTTATTTCCATCATATGTCCAAGATCCAAATTTCAAATGACATGTTTGTTCATCAAATGGAAACGATTTTATATCTATTTTACATGAAGATTTAAAAATTGCAGGTGGAATCCAGGTTAAATCTCCAGTATGTTGTACGATAACCATAGCATCACGCATTTCTTTTAATCGTTCATCGGCGCTAGAATACAATGAAATAAAATAGAAAACCATATCAGTGAAAAGTGAATTATGTTTTGATAGATGTTTGAAATAAATGCAAGTTTTTTACTATTCCGAAGAACTGATTAACTGGATATAAATTGTAAAATTTTTCCTAGTCAATAGTTATTAAACTCTGATTGTCTCTTTAAAATAAAATTTAAGTCTTTTTGAAGTCGCGTAAGTTTCCCCGAAATATTCAAATAGCATAGGTTGGATCCTAACTCCGCTTGGAGTCTCTTTGGCACTGCTGTCGTTCCAAAGCCCGGATAAAGGAGGAAGGTTTGGAATAGGGTTAACGACCCTATCCCGTAAAAAACTAACTCGCTAAAAACACACTAACCAGTAACGTCGGATCCCAGATCTTTGAAGCTAGTTATGAGTATCCTCATTTTAGATCATTTAGTGAAAATCATTTTATACAAATTTCCAAAATTTAACTCATTTTATGATAACTTGATAATCAGTCAGCATCGCTGATAATTTCTTTGTTTTTGATGACATTTAATGAATTCAAACAGTTACGTATGATCTGGAGAATCGAATAAAATATGAAATATAAACCATATGATTTAAACTTTGTAGGTTAAAATAAGGTGGTGGTAACAAAGTTTGGATAATGTAAGTTCAGTTTCCTCTGGTCATGTATATTCACTTTTCAGAAGGCTTAAATTATCATTTTATAGCTATTTAGTGTTTTTGGTCGCTCGTGAATATTTAGTTGACGTGACGTTAAGTGTTTTAAAACTGGGTGAACCTTCAAAACTACTCAACTGACGGAAATATAAGTATACGATATTTGTTTTACAAATGCAACGAATATTTACCATTTATTATTATTCATAATTCACTACTTACTATAAAAACCTTATATACTGATCATTAAAATCCTGTTTAACATACTCTAGCAAACAAACATTTGATGAATATCCTTCTTTCAAAAATAAGGCTTTATATGCACTTTTTAGAGCATTGTATGTATCCGATGATTTTTCGAAAAATATATCATATACACCACTGAACAAGAATTACTGATGAAGTAGTTACACAGAAAGTGAAAGTTATATTTTTACAGAATATGATTATAATAAAGATAAATGTAGGAAAATGAGAATGTAGTGGTATAAAATGTGAAGGTTTTAATCCCCGAATTGTGTGATGCACAATCCACCAGTTATCTAAAATTAGTCATGTAGATGTGTCGGAATTAACATTTATCCTTCACATCACTGACGCGGCATCCAATTATCCAACATATCTAACTGCTACACGTACACTATTGAACTGCAGATATATGTTCTAAAGATTAAACGCTCGATCCTTTGTGGAATCGTGAATACACACTTCTGAAGTGTCTTATAGTAAATAGAAGCTGGTGTTCAATGCTTCCTAGGTTACGACAGTTATGTAAACAACGTTAGTCTGTGACCCCAATTGTGAATTTAATTAACTGTTTCTGAAGAAAATCAACTAATCAATTTAACTTACTAGTTATATAGTACAATATCTGGTGTCCAAATATGCTTATATGGAACACGGACTTCTTGAATTTGTGAATAATTGTCTGGATTCCATTTCAGAATATGATCGGTCCAGCGCTGAAAATGTATAATAAGTAATCATGTATGTTTAAATTACATTCAAAGATATAAATGTTCAATATGACATTCATTTGCTTGAAAATCGATTATCTACAGTCAGTTACAATTCTTTACAAAATTTGTAAATCAAGCAACTAAGCAATATGACATTCGACTGCATTGTATTTTGTGTAAATTGTGTATAAATAACTAAAAAAGCCTAACTCTAAAATACTTTGCATATTGATGACGTCAAAATTGGTTTCCATTTACTGGACAAATTGTTTCTTAATCATACATTTATATACTTAATTAGATGGATTCTTATCATCTTTGTAATAGATTAATTGACTTAAAAATTTAAGCGTGAGAATTTTAGACCATTAAATAAACATCATAAAGATGGAAGGGAGAAATTGGTTTTAAAACGTATTTTCTTGTAAACAAGAGTTTTTGAAATGTCTTATGTATGAATGTTCACTAGGTATGTTTCTTCAGTGATCTTACTTTCCGAATATACATCTTAAATACTTATGTACAAATGTTTCTGCTGTTTGAACCTATTCACCAAATGTGAACTTATTGTATTTCTAATGTTTCCCATTTATATTCACAACTTTTGAAAATAGCGTACTGTTCTTCATTGTCTTGTAATAACATTAAAACAGGAGATGATGCTTTAATGTATTAATTAGTTACTTTAATATTTTGATGATAATCAGTTTGAATGATTAAAAATGTTTTAATATTTAGGTGATAATTTGTTTCATGGACTTATGAATCCAAACGAAATATCGATAGTGTATTGATAAGAATAATCCATGGATAAATTTCCAGCAAGCCAGCTAATCTCTTAGTGGTTATAGTTGATTAATAGCTTAAAATGTATCATTCACGATTTTGTCAACATTATTCCTAGATATATGAATTTCTATTGAAAAAAAATGTTCAGATCAGTATAAAGGTTTGATGCAAACGAAACCGTTACGACAGAATAGAAAACAAAATCTTGGAGTGTGCAAGTTATCTTCCAAGGTTTAACATGATTTATATATCTTAACAAAAATGGTCATAATTAAGTGTTGAACCTATTTACAACATGAGATTATATTAAAAATAAAAATAAACAGTTGAAAGATAGATATATTTAAACAATATATACAGTTAAAATCTTTCTTTTTTCTTTATTATCATTAGTCCAATTTTTCAGTCAAGTTGACCTGATACAAAGTACTAATGTCAATTATAACGAAGTCAAAAAGTAGTTAGTAAAGTAATCAAACTAATTCAGTTTAATGATCTGAACAATTGAAGCTATTCAACCAATTTACTAACTAACAAAATATACTTTTTGTTTTTTTAAATTATTTCCTGAAATAAACAATTCACATCTTCAGAATTTGCAAACAAACAAAAAAAAGACTTCTTTTTTTAAAATAACTTTTCTTCATTTCTGTCTTAACTTCTTTTATTTCGTTTAATTTATCAATAAACCATATAATTTGCCAACCAATATCTGTTGATCATTGAATCAATTAATCAACAATAATAAAACAAAAATCTATAGAAATTAATAATAAAATTTAGGTCAACTAAAACTTTATTTATTACTGTAAATAATAGAAAATGCAACTGTTTTTGTTGGTTGTATAACTCAAAATAAAAAGTAATTCATTTATAATTTTAGCGCAATATTTAATTAATGAGTAAGTAAGAAGTGAATTCAACGATGAATATTTTCTTTTCAACGAAATCATTTATATAAGAGAAGTGTTTTAGTTTTCAATTCAATTCTTATTGTATTAAGTGTTGATTTGGATGATAGTGATAATAATAATAATAATAATGATTGTTGTTACCAGAAGAAGTATTTAATAAAACAGAGAATAAAACAAGTTAATCAATAAAAGAAAAAAGAGAAAGAAAGAAAGGAAGAAAGAAAACAACCGAATACAAAATGGACGAAATCTCACTTATTTTGTTTATTTTTGTTGTCATTTGTTTACTGATTGAATTAATGATATACTAGATGGGATGATCAATAAATTTATCAACGATTCACCATTAAAAGAATTTTATATATCCATGTATATATCTTAGTTATTTATGACAGATGAAGAAATATAAACAAATGAAAATGAAAATGACCCATTATTACATAATTTAAGTGAATACATTCTTATCTATACAATAGAAACATAGTAGGAAAGTGATTTATGTAAATATATTATATAAACTAAACGATTAGGATGTAATATTCTGTTAATCTTCGATAAGTTATTATTTAAATTTAAAGTATTATAGTAGTTTCAACCATAATTTGTTAAGTTTGAAGATAATTATTCATTATATACTTGAATAAATTAGAAAAATGATTGAAGATTGTAAAAGAACTAAAAAGTTATTGAGTTTTGTTTTTCCACTTCTTAACAGTGTACATACATAACTGTTGACATGTGCTCTGGTTGATGTGGTCTGTTAAGATAATTTTCTTCAACAGTAGAATTAATTGTTTAATGGTAAAAAGGTGATGAAATTGTAGTGTCGGTTATTATGTTAAGCCCAGATATCTTACTCTCACTTTCGGACAGCCCAATCTATTCATTCTGCTTGAGTGACATTCTGACCTTGTTAATTATCCGTTTATCAATCTTGACTGTTTTTATATGAGCGCATATGTGTGTGTACTCTACTTATCCCATTACTTATCACATGTCTGTAACTTACTTTTGTGTAACTATAAATATTGATTAACGCTTGGTTAAGTGGCAGATGCCTTACCAGCCATCTCCACTCTGCGTCATTTCTCTTCTCTCTATTCCATTCGCTTTATATACAAAATATATGTATTCACAAGTCCATTCTCGTTATTTGACTGATTTAATTCCGTTATTGACTAACGCGATTTAAGTCGATGATTATATACGAGGATAGGTGATAACAAGCATTCATACGATCTACTTGGAGTCAGATCCCGGGTCGCTAAAGTGGAAAGCCATTTCGACAACATCGTCCGATCTAAATGACGACAAAATAAAGGGCCCCACAAAATATATATGATATTAGATAACACCGTTGGATGACGAATCATTGGTCTAGAGGTTGAGCTATGGTCCTGAGTTCAAATTCTACGAGTGGGATCGTGGATTCTCACTGCTGAAGAGTCCCATACTAAGATGAGACGAATCGTCCATTACTTCGAGGTTTTCCATGGTGGTCTAACATCAATCGGTTGATGATCTCAACCAAAAACTTAACAATCTCCACAACCCCTAAACTGATGATTTCAATTGTGTTTGGAGGCATTATTTTGAATATCTAAAACTAAGATTTTGTGTTTGTTAACGTTCATCAATGAAACACATTTGCAATTTAGGATTAACTTATGCTACTGATGGAATTTGAACACGCGTTGACTATTTTGGCAGTTATAGATCATTTATAAACATTTAAGCCCTATATTAGATCATTCTCTTCCTGAATAGATCAGTGATAATGTTTAAAAGATGAAAGATATATCTAATTTATAAGTGTGAGTAAATTCATGTTACTTATACTAAGTACATCATATCAAACAAATTGCACCACAGTGTTGGGTCACTTAGATCGGCAGTAACATTCTTACTTAATCACAAGAAATCGTCCATAACTAAGAATCAAACGACATGACATTGATTAATAAGTAAACATACAATGAAAACTTCATGTTCTTCAAGAGAATATTACAAATTGTCAAACAATCTACACTAAAATACTGATATCATCACTCATGTTTGATTTAAAAATAAGGCATGAATAAATGAAAATATAAAGAAACATATCAGCACTTTTAATTATGTCTATGAATAAAACTACAAAAAAAACAATTCACATTTTAATTATTTAGAATAATTAAGAAATTCGACAACTACAATAAAGATAATCACAAGTGAAACTTAATCATTATATTACTTCACATATATCGTGACTTTATATGTACTCATATATGGGGATTAAAAGACTTATTATACAGTAAAGTGTTGCTTTTTGTTATTATAGGTCACAGTGAAAATATGAATATGAGTTTAGATCAAGAGGTAGAGTTGATAAACAGTAAACAATTCTTTATGAATGCAAAAGTTTAATTTAATTCAAGTTCATCACTGTATAATTAATCACTTCAATTTAATCATTGCTTAATTATTTACTTAAATATACATAAGAAAATAAGAGATTGTTTATTTGTTATTAAAAGGACAGTGTTTATTTATAATAATTAACCATAGTTTTTATATATTGGAAAGTTATGTTTATCATTGACTTATCACTTTGTTAAACTAGATTTAACTTTCTCAGATGTATTTATCTCACATATATGTCCCAATGTGATATTATATACTTGCTGGTAAGTAAAGTTAGTTTATAACTCTGAAAGGAAAGAAAGCAAACTGTAAATTAGTTGCTCAATATTAACACGATGATCATTAAATTTAGAAGTTCTCTTTTATCTCCGGATAAATCTATTGTGTGCTTAGTAAAGAACTAACTGTCCTGAGACCCAAATTCATCAGAGAATTGTTTACTGTTATTGTCTTATAAACTTATGAACTAGTTTAATTCACTTGATATTGTTTACTTAAATCTTCCTATTGATGTTTAGGACTGCAGTTGATCGGTCTCTTATTGGCATATGTGCATACTGTGTGTATTGCCTCAATATTGCCTTAATTCACAAGCATTATAAGCAGCTAAATCCAGCCGATGAGTCCCGAATAGGACGAAACGCGCGTCCTGGATTCCATTGCTAGCCACTATCCATATTTGCTATGAACTAATTGATTTTCCATGATCTTCGCCCTCAAAGGAATAAAGATAATTTTGAATAAAAAGCATTTTTCATAGAAGTAACAGTCTTTTTGATAAAAGATACCTAGTCAGTTACTCTCTCTAAATTCCTTCATAGCGCCGTACACCATGCTTTCTCTAAATATTTATGTAGATATTATATTTATCACGTTTAGATGCATTCAGACATATAA